ATCTTTTGGAAGTAAATACTCTTGTAAAAGGGATTTTTAAAGCAAATCCTAGATACTGTAAGGAATAAAAAAGCAAAAGTAACCTAGCGTGGTGGTAAAACACCAGTAAAATTAAATAGTACTTCATCAAGTTTTAAAAAAATGCATTTTATTTAAAAATATTTGAATTTAATAAAAAAAAAAGTATAATAATTTTTGAAAAATATAATTTTTTCGGTTTTTTAAGCCCAGTCAATATTTTTTTATTAAGTTTGTAAATATGTTATATAACTAATACTTTCGAATTTAAATAACTAAATTTGTGCTTTTCTTTATGCTACAGAGATTGGAAAACCACCCTTAAACATATCGTATTTATAACGGATATAGTCGTAAATATTTATTTCGATCCACCCCTCCCCCTGGACAATCTGACGTTCTCGAACAAACAGTTCATCGCCGGTTGAAATGAAACGCAAGAGTGACAGCCAGCAACAGGTTCCTCCAGTACCTGTACTGGGAATAAGGAGGAGGGGGGAATGAAAAACGCCACAGGTAGAAAAAAGAGAAACCTACCTTGATGGGGATTTTCACATGAGATAGGGAAAAACTAGATTTACCTGTTGGCTGTGGCATGCGACTTCTCCAGTGATGCATCCAAGTGTTTAGGTTGCGGTTCAAATTCGTTGTTTGGTGTTTGTGTGTCTTGGTTTGGTGGCATTTTATTTATTTCGTGTTATTTATTCTTTTGGTAGCCCTTCTTCAATTTCTCTCGACCCTCTCTGCAATCTGGCTGAACCCGGGTAGAATAAAAAGCACCGGGGTGACGGGCGTGTACTGTTGTTTATTTTTGTTTCTACCCCGTTAATATTTGTTAATTATTATTAATCACCGGTGATGGCTACAAAATTTTTGGTGGGGGTCTTTACGGTCACCGCTGGTCTGCAAGAAGAACTGGGCAGCGATGAACAAGATATAGTTCTATTCTCCTGGGTGTTGGTAGATCTTTCTAACACAAAGGTAAGGAATCCACTCTATTCAAACCATAATTATTTCCGAAATTCCATTATTTGCTCTCTCATCAGCAGAAGTATTATAACTTAACGTTGTTTTTGCCCGATGTTTAAATATAAAATAGGTTTACGTTCTTATTTTCCGTTATAAATAATCCCAAAATTAGCTCCCATTTGCAGACAATTCACAAGGCACTTGTGCTTAAATAAGTTTTATACATGCATTTAGCCAAAAGTTTTAAAAAAATAAGAAAACGATTTTTCTAAAATGCAAGCGATTTCTTTTCTTTTTTAAAAAAATAATGTGCATTTCCTAAATCGTTTTATAAATTGTGCATTTTGTTTGTTTCAAAATGTTGTTACATTAGGATTAACATTATAAAATATTTTTCACAATCCATACATTGCAGATAGAAAATAGTGCATACTTCAAAAGTTCTTGACATTTCTTATTTTAGTAAAATATATTATTTAAAAAGTAAGATAAGAATACGATTTTAGAAAATATTCTTTTTATTCCAAGGAAAAGTAAAATTCTTAATTTCAAAAGTTTATATAGTAATTAGTGTTAACATTTTTCGGGGTTCACAAACTAGTGTTGCAAAATAATTTATAATTCATAAAGCAGGTAAAGTATTTTAATTTCTTAGAAAATATATTTAAAAGTGCCAAAAAAAATTTTTTAAGCTAACGTTATTAAAAATCATGGATTTTCAAAATCGTTTGCTCACAATCGGTTTAAAACTTGATTATTTTTTTTTTCGGCACAGAACATGATATTTAGGATTGTTTTGGGTGACTAAGTATTTTTATTAAAAAGTTTATAATTTGTGTGAAAATATATTGCTAATTTTAACGTATCTCTTGCATTGAATGGGAATGTAGGCTTTTTTATAGTCATACTATACAATAACATTAAGAAATTTTTAAAAAAATGACTGATTTTAGCTGAATTGTTACTAGTTTGAGAGTAAGTTTATATTTTACACTTTTTGTTTGAATACATTTAGCTTTAAATAGATAAATATTGCAAGAAGCTGTTTGGAAGGAATATTTTAAAGGTGCTAATTTTAACATCAACAAAAAACTCAATTAAAAATAATAAAAAAACGAAAGACTAAGTAACTTAAAAATTGGAAAAAATTGGCATTTCAATATCTAATGAATTTCATAGTAAACAACTATAATTTTCTTACGTTAAGAATACATTAGAACGTGAGTCTTTTTTTAATTTTTTTATAAAATATGTATATTTATATTAGCAGTTTTTTCTCTCCACAATGTGCTAATATAATTGTATTAATAAATGTTATTCAATAAAAATATGGACGGAAAATTTTAACTGCTGTTTGATGTTTAAAAGTGTCCTAATATCAAGTAATTATAAAATTTAGGACTATTTTACTTTCAAGAAAGAAAAAAGAGCTTATTTGAACATTTATCGAGTATTTTCAGCAATTTAATTTATTAAAGAAAGATTAATATTTAAACTTGAGATCGATTAATACATTTACGCACAAATTACATGATTATACTGTTACATCATTTCAGATATAATAAAAACGCAAATGCTCCTCACATGAGTCACCAAAACATAGACCAAAAAAAAAAATTTTTTTTTTTGAAAATACTTTCTGAGAAATTGCAACATCTTAAGCAGATGAGAGATAATTTACATGGAATATTTTTGATCATTTTTTTTTCTTTTTCTTAAAACGTTACTTACTGATACCATGAATATATTATCTGTAGCACACTTAATGGTTTGAGTTCTTTATTCAATTAACTGTTACCCCAATCACATCTAATTCCTGTGTTACCCAGTATTTAATACTCTGTTCTTTAAGTTATCTAAAATTTATTTTTGTTTATAACATCGCTTAAAAACATATTCTGAAAAAAGAGTTTTAAAAAAAAGTGTGTATCATTGGATTTAATTGCTTCAACTAAATCTGGTAAGTGACTTTATCATAAATTCTGTTTATTTTTGGAAGTAACATTGCATTCAAAAAAGAAAAAAAAATGGTATGATATGCTCCAGTCGAATAAAATGCAATACCTCATAGAGATTAAGCAATTTTTTTACTTTTTTCGACTTGTGAAATTTTTTTTCAATGAATATGAAATCTATCACCTACTTTAAAAATATCTTTTGGAAGTAAATACTCTTGTAAAAGGGATTTTTAAAGCAAATCCTAGATACTGTAAGGAATAAAAAAGCAAAAGTAACCTAGCGTGGTGGTAAAACACCAGTAAAATTAAATAGTGCCTTGAATAGTGATGATTTTTACCGTACATTTATAGGAATTTATTTGTACGACAGACATACTTATCTATTCCAATCTCTTTTAAGTTTTGATAATTTATAAATTCTCATGAAGTTAAATTTGCTCCTGATAAGAATTTGTGTGGTTATGAAAATCAGTTAATCTAAGGATGCATTATTAACTCTAAATAATTGTAGCTGCTAATGTTTTTTTCCTTGTTTTATTATGTTTGTTGCAGCTGGTTGAAAATATTAAACGTTTAAAAAGTATTTTTTTCAATTAACCATTTAAAGAACTGGAACCAACGGCGACAAAAAAATACTTTTCTTATATTATGTATTAACTTTTTCTGAGTGTTACGACCACTCATTTTTATTTATTTATTTTTGGCGGAAAATGCTTGGCGGCAATTTTCACAGTTAGTGTTTTGTAAATAGTTTATAAGTAGGATTTGTTTTTTCGTATTCACATTTCAATAAAATGTAGTCAGAAAAAGGGAAGTTTTTTAAGAATGCTTTACGTAACAAAATACTTCTCACGGATTTAGTGTAAAAAGATTAAATTTGCAATTTCAAAATGTTTTTTCAGCAATTGAACTTTTGTTTTAGAGCAAGATTCTTCGATTTTTAAACGCAATAGATACTATCTGACGTAGAATTTTGCATTTTAAAGTTCCTAAATTTAACGGAATTCACCGTAAAGTTCTCTCTAAAAAAGGAAGAAAGAAAGAAAAAAAAAATGAAAGGCCTTCATTCTGTGCCGCAGGCCACCCAAATGTGGAAGAGGGGTCAGACATGGGCCAGACGATACTCGAGTGACTATTGCTTTTTGTTAGCAACAGTTGGAAATTATTCCATCCATCACATATATAAATGTAGGTTTTCATACAAGCTATTGTGTAACCACTTTATTACCAGTAAGCAATGTATTTTAGCAGTCAATTCCTATTTTTATAAAAGGACCACCTTTTTGTTGACCCTGAAACTATTTCACTGTGTAGGTAAGCTTACAATATTGGTAATGGAGCATTATCAGCACTAAAAACATGTTCTTCTAGATAGGATGACATGTTCATTACAATACAAAGCTAAGTTGTCCAATTTTAAAGTTACGTAGAGGAAAGGTTTATAAATATGAGATAATTCCTCAATATGAGATGCCCTATTGTAGCAAAATGAGATAGTAGATTCAATCAAAAACAGTCTAAAACACATTTGACGCTTCTGCGAAGCCGACGGAGAGAGAAAATTGAAACTTTCTATTGGCCACAGTGCGTGCGTGCATAGTGCTTGAAAAATGTCTTTTATTGAGTATTATTATATGACACATGCGAGCTTAGTCAAATGCGTCATTAGTATTTTTGTAAAACCAGAACACTTTTTTTATGTATTACATAATATTTCTTTGTCATGAAATTGTCTATAAATAACCATGATCCAATATTGTAACTAGAGCAAGATTATAACTAGATTATAATTTGAGCTAGCGTATTTAATGTGTTTTGGTACTTACTCATATTAGGCAATCTTTTCTAGATTTTGCAGATTTTTTTAAATTTCATCTTAAAACTTAGAAAGTCTAGTTATCATGCTTTTTAAAAATGACCTTTTCAAAACAGACGAGAAACAGCACAAGAAAAGCCTTTTCTAGTATTTTAGTTAAATTTATTCTGAATAATTTTATCAGGACCCTCAGGAAAGCAGTTCCAGGCCTGGGATAACATTTTCCGCTTTTTTCCCTTTTTAGTAAAACTTTGGTAGTCGTTTGGACGAAGGCCGAATAATGAACTCATTTTTTGTCTAAAAACAAAATACAGTATTCACTTTCAACAGTTTTCGATATTTATTAGTTAAAAATATCTATAGTAGATTTATCATTCTCTAAAATACATATGGTTAGGATTAATCATTTCCTAAAAAAATAAAAACTTTTAAATCATTTGGTTGTATTTTACTTTAACTTTATTAATTATATTTTTGTGTTTTCGAATGTTTTAAATAAGCTTTCAAGATAGTATTCTGTTTTATTGCTTCATGAAGCTAGCTGTTGGCGTAAAATCTAAAAAATATCAAAAGAAATCATGTTTAAAATGTTTGTTATAAAAGTCCTCTTATTCACAAACTGTTTCCAATATAAAATGTATTCTAATACTGATTGTTCTTAGCGTGTTAATGGGTTGAACAAAGAGTTTCTGTATTATAAAAATATGGTATGAAGGTTTATTAATCAGATTCTTATCGAGTTTAATTTTTAGATAAAACTTATTTACCTCAAAATTCGCTTTATTTATTTAAGGTATATTTCAAACATGCTATAAATTATCATTGTGTTTTGTGAGAATTTCAATATAACTTCTTCAAAGAACATTCTTGTGTGTACTGCGGCTGATATCATTAACAGTTCATGTCATCCATTTTGCTTTTAGCTGCTGATATCGCTAGGGGGTGGGGGAGGTGGAAGCTGCTGGTGTCATTTAATTTGATTTTTTGGCGTAAAAACTTATGAACTGATTCTAATGCATTTTTCTTTTATAAAGTTGGCTATATGCAGAGTTTCTTTTCCTTATGTAAATTCAAATGCAGTTTTTGAGGTTTTATAATGCTCAAAATGTCCTATGAAAATAATCATGCGGCGCATAACTAAATTAAAGTTAATTGTTAAAATAATTTTATTCAACATTAAAAAAAAAATTCCAATTTTTTTTAAATAAATATAAAAAGTTATATTTTTTCAAAATTTT